ATATATATATATATATATATATATATATATATACCCAACATTTCTGGGCTCAATTTATGAGAGCTTCATCAATTTTTTTAATATTTTGCTTAATAACAAATGCGTATTATTAATTAAACTAATATAGAAGATTAATCCATCTCATATAGAATTTCATGTATATCCATGTACATTAATTAATGAGAATATAATATCAGTAAATCTGACATAAGCTTATTTGATTCTAGATTTATTATCAAATCCTATTTAAGGAGAACAGATTTTGTCTAATTAAGGGAAGAAATGTTCCCTTATATACCCGCATAAGGATTTCATACAGATTCTTTTAGATACAATTTGGCAAAAAACTAAAACAAAAAATAAATCAATAATGCAGAAATAAATATAAATACGTTACTGTATATAATTTTATAGTTGCTAAAGTTTATCGATTTGTTTAAATTATTTCTAATATAGCGACATACAAGTATTTTGTACTTATATGATGCAAAACTGTATATAATTTATTACAATATATACTTTTGTATATGTCTTCGAACTAAATTTTGCATTATTTCGCAAAAACTTATAAAATTCCTCAGCCACCCATATCAAATTAATAATGTACTCTACAAGTTTTCTATTGCCAAAGTCTAGCGATTTATTTTAATTATTTTTAATATAGCAGTATATAAATATTTTGTATTTAAATGATGCAAAATTTTATACATTTTACTACAATATATAATAATATATACAGCTTTAAATTAAATTTTGAGTAATTTTGCAAAAACTGATTAAATTGTGCTCACCCTCTTACAGCATCGACAATTTCACTTCAAAAGTTTTTCATTGCCGAAGTTTATCGATTTATTATAATTATTTCTAATATAGCAACATACAATTATTTTTCAGTTAAATGATGCTAAATTTTACGTAATTTATTGCAATATATACTGATGTATAAGTCTTTAAACTAAATTTTGAGTAATTTTGCAAAAACTTAAAAATGTCCTCAGCCACCCATATCAATTTTATGTACTCTACAAGTTTTCTATTGCCAAATTCTAGCGATTTATTATAATTATTTTTAATAAAGCAATATACAAATATTTTGTAACTATGTTATGCAGAATTTTATAAACTTTGCTTTAATAAATGTACAGGTCTCTTAACAAAATTTTGAGTTTTTGTGTAAAAACTGATAAAATGTCCTCAGCCATCCGTATCAATTTATTGTTCTCTACAAGTTTTCTATTGCCAAAGTTTAGCAATTTATTTTAATTATTTTTAATATAGCAACATACAATTCTTTTGCAATTAAATGATACAGAATTTTATATATTTTACTACAAAATATAATTATATATACACCTTCAAACTAAATTTTGAGTTATTTTATAGAAACTGATCAAAGATCCGCAACATCTCAGTAAAATAAAAGTTTCTTATAGCTAAAGTTAATTGATTTATTATAATTATTTTTAATATAGCAACATACAATTATTTTATAGTTAAATGATGCAAAATTTTATATATTTTACTACAACATATAATAATATATACGCCTCCAAACTAAATTTTTAGTTTTTTTTTGCGAAAACTGATGATGACAAATCTTTACATTGGCCCTCGACTCTGCCGTAACGCACTTCCGTTGCATTTGTACAGATTTACACCCTAGTCGCGCCTGAAAAAGTTTTACTTTAAAATTCAGATGCATTTATTTGAATAATTCAGCACCGCCCAAGTCATTCATGTTTATAAATTTCAACAACCCATCAACTGATGAATGACAAATCTTTACATTGGCCCTCGACTCTGCCGTAACGCACTTCCGTTGCATTTGTACAGATTTACACCCTAGTCGCGCCTGAAAAAGTTTTACTTTAAAATTCAGATGCATTTATTTAAATAATTCAGCACCGCCCAAGTCATTCATGTTTATAAATTTCAACAACCCATCAACTGATGAATGACAAATCTTTACATTGGCCCTCGACCTTGCCGTAACGCACTTCCGTTGCATTTGTACGGATTTACACCCTAGTCGCGCCTGAAAAAGTTTTACTTTAAAATTTAGAAGCATTTATTTAAATAATTCAGCACCACCAATGCCATTCAAGTCATATGCACATGTCTATAAATTTCAACAACCCATCGCCATAGATCATTTTCCAAAACTCGAACCCCTTCCCAATACTCGAACCCCACCGCCTGGTGGTGGAGTAATACATTAATTAACGGTAATCAACGTCGACGCATCCATCTGGCGGTTGACTAGAATCGGACAGCCCTTGATGGTGGTTGGTGGTTGGTGGTTGACACAGGGTTAATTATCGCTAATGGGAAACTAATTCAAGGCACCTGAGCACCTTTTTAAAAGCTTCCAAACAGACGGGAATGGGGATTATTTTGTTACGGTTAAATGTAATTATTTAGAAATTCTTCTAACGGATGTATGAATCCAAACTTCTCCTACGCGGTTATTCTAATTTTGATAAATCTTTTTGGAGTTTATCAAGGACTATTTGTAAGATGTTATGAACTATACAACTATAGTAATATTGTAGAAATAAATGAAAAAAATGGCAACAACTTATTATTGTTAATTAGGTGAAAACTGTGAAAATGTTAAATTATGGGTAAGCAAAATAAAAACTGAAATATGCTTAGAATTAAATTATTAAAAATAAATAAAAAAATGAATAAATTTTGATTTAAACGCTAAGACGTCAATTTTTGAGTAATAAAAATAAATCGATAAACATTGTCAATAAAAATACAAGTAGTCAATGAATGTATGTCAATTTTGATTACATGAAGTTTTTCAAACACAATTATTACATGATGAGTGAAATTGTGAAAACAATATTTGTTTAGGCGTTGTTTAACATAATTTACTGTGCGAACAAATAATATAGAATTTATGAATCAGCAATTACTTCATTTCTCTAATGAAGGTTCATTTCTAAATGCAAATTACAATGACAAACCGATCATGTCGTATTTGAAGTATGACTTTAATTACATTATTGTTTGTGAATATTGTACATATTTTTATTATATTTTATATTTTTATATTATGAATATATAGTTTATAATTCATCATTATTAGTATTTCTAATATTTTTGGGAAGTTAATAAAAGTTAATAAAAAGCATGAAAATGGTCTCCAGGGCTGATAAGACTCACCGCGGTGTAAATTTAATTTATTGCCAAAAATTATATAAAATATTACTTTATGGGTTAATTTACGATTGAGTAATCTTTTATAATTTCGGGATTTTCATTTCGTTTCGCCACGAATTAATTTATCAATTAGCCTTATGGCTGTTTTATTAAATCCATAAATTATATATAAACGGGTTTTAGGAAAAGTTAAGCATTTGCGGAAACATTTTAGTGATTTATGAGGGGTTGCGATAATTATTTATTTGCTAAATATTTAAGCTGCAAGTAGAAGTTTATGTTTTCGTTAGAAATTAAAAAAAAAAGTGTGCGTAAAGATCACACGCGATTGAAGTAAAACTTATTTGCTACTGTACAAGATGACATTTAAGTAAAAATAAATACATCATAAAACAATTTTGAGTAATGTTTATTAGTAATATGGTAACACTGTTTATTAGTAATATGATGCACACATTTATTAGTGTCATAATAGCATTAAAAATAAGTTTGATATTTAAAAACAATTATGTAATTAAAGTCATACTTCAAATATGACATAATCGGTTTGTCATTGTAATTAGCATTTAGAAATGAACCTTCATTAGGGAAATGAAGTAATTGATGATTAATAAATTCTATAATATTTCTTCACACAGTGGATTATGTCAAACAAATATTGTTTGCAACTTCATTCATCATGTAATAATTGTGTTTGAAAAACTTTCTGTGATTAAAATTAACATACATTCATTGACTGCTTGTATTTTTTAGGGTAGTTATAGTAATGGGACGAATATTGAAAATGAAATTTTTTTCCATTTTCGACGTTTTGAAGGTTTCTGAACATTTTGGCATACCTCAGAAAAAATGGATGTGTGTGTGTGTTTTGTGTGTCCGCATTTTTTCGTCCACGTTTTCGGGCGCACGGATCAACCGATTTGAATGGTTTAAAAAGCATTCGATCCCTATTTATAGAGAGATGTGCTGATTAGTTTTTGGCAAAGGCAGCCCCAGCCGTTTCGGGGATACGGAGCAAAGAGTGCAGAAAATAGAAATCGACTTTTTGAGAGAACGGATCATCCGATTTGTATGATCTAAAAAACATTCAATTTGTAATGATTGGGAGAAGTGGTGATTAGTTTTTGGAAAAGTCAGGTCGCGCCATTTTGAAGATACAGAGCTAAATGTGCAAAAATGGCAGTGTTTGAGTGAACTAAGCGTTCGATTTGAATGATCTAAAAAACTTTCTGCTTGTATTGACAAAACAATTGCTTTTGACGATAAAACAATATTACATCTTTCTTTATTTTCCATAAAAATTTTTTGTAATTTTGGATTAAAAATTCAAAAAATTACCCAGGCTTAGCACAGTCTAAGCGCCACTCTGGTACAAATGTTTACCAAAGTGCGTTTAGACTGCTTATGTGCGGAGTACTTTTCCAATTTTGCCAAAACTATTGAATAATGTGAAAATGCCGCCAAGCAAAGAACAGTATAAGTGAAAATGTCGCACAGAATTATTTGCAAATGCGTTTAGACTGTGACTATACGGGAGCACTTTTTCAATTTTTAGGCAACTATTTTTTTTTGAAATTGAATTCGAAATGAAATGACAATTGTTAATGTTCTGGAGATAAATTGATTTATTTATGATTTACATTTGATTTGCTCAGATATAACAAGATAGCAAAAATAATGATCTTAACCCTAAGCGGCACAATACCGTAAATTTGCTCTATATATATTATTAGAATATAATTATACCCACACCTAGTTTGTTTATTACATTTTCTAGCAGTAAAAAAATTTAATTTCTATATTTATAATTACTTTCAGACAGAAACTACAGAAACAGATAATTATAAACAAGATCTTCAAAGAGAAATGAATCATCCTAGAATAGTGTAGTGTAATGTGAGTGAAGTGAGTGAAGTGCACCGTAGTCATGACGTTAATTGCAAAGGGTGGAGGAATAAAAAATAAGGGTTGGAAAAAAATAATGGATTTTAGAGAAAATGTGAGAAAAATATAGAACGGAATGAATAAGGAAACTGTTGGCGAGATGGATGGTTCTAATTGCACTTACTACAGCTGCGAAGATTATAAGGTGAGTTAAATTATATTTTATAGATACTATATATATTAGAGTGGTCCTTAATATGGAATTTTTTTATTTTCCTTGCTCCCAAGGGCTCAAATGGTTCCAAATAGATAAAAAACAATTATCTGAAACTTTTAGCTCTTAATATTAAATTTTAGATAGTGCGCAATTCAATCAAACTTCGTATGGAAATAGCATGAAATTTTTTTCAAAAATAACCAATATATATAACCAATAATTACAAAAACCCTGATAACAGACCATATCAAATATTAAACACTTGTTCATTTTTTATATTGCCACGAACGATTCAAAAACGCTTTGCAGAGTCTTGCCTCATTACCATAGATAAAAACAGTATTAACAAAAGAAATGATACCTTTTTATTCTAAAGTCGTTTTATTCAAAACTTTTATATCAGAGTGTATATAACTGTACTCATGGAAATGTAGTAAATTTTATTTAGTTTCACCCTAACTAACTGAAAAGGGGTGGTTCCATATGAAATTTTTGAGTTATTTGACAAAAACCCAAAAATGTCCGAAATTTTCTATATTTATTGCTCAAGAATGAAATATCGAATTCAAAGTCGTTTTATTCAAAACTTTTATATCGGAGTGTATAAAGGTGTTTCCTAGGAAATGTTGTAAATTTTATCTAATGTTATTTAACAAAATTTAGAAAAATGTCCCGGCAGATTCCATTTATGTATTGTAAATTTGCACAATATATTAAGGCGAGTTCAGACTAATTTTATTCAAGATTTTTGTATGAGACTACATTAGACTCTTTATACAATATTTTAGTATATTTTATCTAGTTTCTGCTAAGATAAAAATAATAGAGTATTCTAAGAAAATTTTTTCGAGCTAATTAACAAAACGTAGAAAAATGTCGGGACAGATTCCATATATGTATTGTAAATTTGCACAATATATTAAGGCGAGTTCAGACTAATTTTATAAAAGATTTTTGTATAAAACTATATTAGACTCTTCATACAAAACTTTAGTAAATATTATCTAGTTTCTACTAAATTAATTAAAAAATAGTGTTTTGGGAAAAGTTTTCGAACAATTTAACAAAACGTAGAAAAATATCCCGGCAGAATCCATATATGATTAATATTCAAAAAATATATTAGGTCGTGTTCACACTAGTTTTATCCAAAAATTTTGTATTGGACTATATTAAACAGTTTATACAAGGTTTTACTAAACTTTATCTAGTTTCCGGTAAACTATAAAAATAAGAGTGCTCTAGGGAATTTTTTTCGAACAATTTAACAAAAGGTAGAAAAATAAAAAAAAAAAAAATCATCATATAAGAATACAAAACATCATTTATTTTCAAAATCGTAATATAAACATTTATTAACAAAAACTACTATATACTAACATTTTAAAACACAAATTAATTTCTAACATATGATATGATTGGTTCGAGATAAATGAAACGTTTGGTATAAATTCAATCAGCGAATTATCTAATTTATTGAGAAAACTGCATCAATAGTAGCGCCATCTCTCGATAGAATAATTTTTTGTTGAATTTAATTTATTATCAATAAATCAATTATGGGATGGCATTTATGGAAATATTACAGACACATCAGTCATCGAGCATAAAATATTTACTTTTTGGTGACATATGACATTTTTCTCATGCGGGAGTGCTCTACGATTGTCGGCAACGCTCGTTCACTCAGTGACGTCACAGTCTTCTTGTGTTTCTGCACACTTATTTTGGTTCAAGTTTCTATTAAATCTATCAAACGTTTTCGATCTCGTTCCCAATCACATCAATTTCTTTCGGAAGACACGGACGGCGAGTTATGAGTCAACAGTCAAATGTTATTATCGGTGTAAACTTTATGCATTTTATGACCATTAGCCAATAATCGCACAATTTCCATCAAGGTATTTCGTACAAGGAGTTCGTCGTTGTAACCCGAGGCGAATTTTAAGATATAAGTTTTAAGGACTACGTCAATTGTGCAAACTGCATTGCAATTACCCCGAAGCCATTTCATTAAAGTCGTATATAATTTTGTCATTTTTAACATATCATCATAGGTTAATTGAATTTGATGTCGGTTAGAATTTAATCCTGATACTACACGTAAAATTCTTTTAGCGTGAATTTGTTCTGATAATTTTTCAATGTTTTCCTCGATGTATTTTTGCAAATCTTTTGCTCCTGAATAAGCCAAACTGTTCCATTGAATAATCATAATTCTTATATCGACTAATTGATCGATTGTCAAGTTCAAATCGTTCCATTCCAGAATTCGACGAATTCCTTGATAAACTGCATCGGTTTCATCGTAAATTTTTTGCGAGGATTTTTGCATTTCTTCTAATTTTTGCATTTCTTCGACACTCATTTCTGATTCGCATGCATTTATTACTGCAAAAATTGCTAAGAAAACTAAAATTGCACGTTGAAGATACATTTTACTTGGTGTAACTGTATTTTACAAGATTTGTAGTTGTACTGAATTTGTTAGAGCAGAATCTTTCTTATATACGAATTTCTGCGAGATTTATCTCCACTTTGTTTTTATTTTAAAATTGTTAATTAGAGATAAATCGGTGCAATTGGTATTCGGAAACAATTGTCTCGTGTGACATTATTCGGATTGTTTATAAAATTATATCATTAGTGAATATTTCAACACCCGCAGTATTTAGTTTATCTATAAAAATATAATAATTATTTTATGTTTTCATTAGCAAAGCATTTGTCTAAATTTATGCATACTTCAATTTATCTATAACTAGCTGTGGCATTTTGCCTTAAGGCAAGTTACATAAATATCCCAAAATGTGCAAATAATAATTTAATTTTTTTTTTAATTTGAAAATTTGCTTTATTTGACTTAAATACATACATTGATTTTTACATAAAGATACAAATTGTATAGACCTATTCTGGGAATATCATTATACTATCATAATATAATATTGTTTGCATATATATATATTTGTTTATATAAGTATGAAAAGAGCTATTAAAAACATGATATAATAAAATTATATAATTGGCAAATAATCAATTTAATGAATAATGAATCTCAGTATGTTAATTTATAATATAAAAAACTACTGCAGATTATTCAGTTCTTTACAATTGTTAAGTAAATCTTCTTAAGAAAGTAACTCTACAAAATTCTGATGGAAATGCGTTACTGTTTTTTTTTGACATATGGCATTTTCAATAATATATTGTACACTTTGATAGAATTTATTGAAATATTAATATTTTGACTATGAATTGAAATTTTTAATAATCTATGAATTATGTCGGGACATTTTTAGTTTATTATTTGTTTAATATAGTCCTGTACAAATATCTTGAATAAAACTAATGTAAATACGACCTAATATATTATGCAAATTTACTAAACATATATGGATTCGGTTAGGATATTTTTTACGTTTTGTTAAATTGTTCAAAAACTTTTTCCAAAACACTATTTTTTAATTAGTTTAGTAGAAACTAGATAAAATTTACTAAAGTTTTGTATGAAGAGCCTTATGTAGTCCTATACAAAAATCTTTTATAAAATTAGTCTCAACTTGTCTTAATATTTTGTATAAATTTACTAAACATACATGGGTTCTGTCGGGACATTTTCTACAATTTTGTTAAATAATCGTGTATATTATTTTATGAGTGATTTATGAGGAGTGCGATTTGTTGTAAACTTTTACAAAAGCTATTGCAAATTTTTCAATTTCATTAAATTTTTAACTAAAACTTTTTACAAAATGCATGCTGATTCGTCATTGGCAGTCGATGTGATCATTCGAAATAAGTTGATATGATTGGTCAAAATATCACGTGAGATTTATTTATATTATGGAGATATAATATAAGATTTTGTAATTTGCACGACGATGATGTTTATATAATATTTACTTAAAGAGGAAATGAACAAAATTTAATCGAGTTGAGTTAAAATTATAGGACCTCATCTCATATTTACAAGAATTGTTTAAAATGGATTGCAAAGTTGAAATGATTTATTTTAAGTATATATGTCAGCTTTGAATTGCACTCTTTAGCAAAAAGTAGATAAAATTCATTGAATTTTATATACTAAAATTTGTAAAAAAATCTATTGTGGATACGCTCTAATATAATGTACAAATTGTATTATAAAAAAATACATATTTGTATTTTGTCGGGACATTTTTTTTTTAAGTTTTATTAAATTGTTCGTTGAATTAATTAATTAATTCTACGTTTTGTTGAATTGTTCGAAAACTTTTCCCAAAACACTATTTTTTCATTAGTTTAGTAGAAACTAGATAAAATATACTACAATGTAAAAACTATTGTAGATAATTTAGTGATTCAAAAAGTTGTTCTAATAACATTTTTAATTTGCCACTGAATAAAGATACTCTCCAATTTTCACAAGTTCATCGAGAATATACTTTCTACATATATAAATTTCAAGGATCTGGTGACATAGTTAACAATGCAAGTCAATACTATATTAATAGTCAGTTAATATATTTTCAAAGTTAATTTATTATCACCGATTGTGTCACTTCATGTTTTCTATATGAGTATGCAAATTAATGATGCACTTTTAGTGAACGAGTTAAAACAGCAAATCGTGATTAACACAGTTCGATGGCAAATTAAAAATGTTGTATAGAGGACTTTTTGAATTTCTAAAATATCTCAAAGCGTTCTCGAGATATTGCATTTTTAAACATTTCGATTTCGCAGCATTCATATTGATTTTTTACAACTTATAAAATTTGCAAAGTGTAAAAATGCAATTTTATGAAAACTATTGCAGATATTTTGGTGATTGAAAAGGTTGTTCTAGAAACATTTTTTATTTGCCATCGAATGGTAATACTCTTGATTTCCAATTTTTACTAGTTCATCAATAATATACTTTATGCCTAAATAAAGCTTCAGGATTTGGAGAAATAGTTAACAATGCAAGTCTAAAGTATATTAATAGTCAGTTAATATATTTTTAAAGTTAATTTATTATTACCGATTGCGTTATTTGATGCTTTCTATATGAGTAAGCAAATTAATGTTACATTTTTAGTGAACGAGTTAAAACAACAAATCGTGATTAACACGGTTCGATGGCAAATTGAAAGTATTATATTAGAGACTTTTTGAATTTCTAAAATATCTCAAAGCGTTCTCGAGCATTTTTAAACATTTCGATTTCGCAGGATCAATATTGATTTTTTGCAACTAATAAAATTTGCAAAGTGTAAAAATGCAATTTTATAAAAACTATTGCAGATATTTTCATGATTCAAAAAGTTGTTCTAAAAGCATTTTTAATTTGCCATCGAATAGTAATACTCTTGATTTTAAATTTTTACTTTCTTCACTTTTATTTCAAAAATGTACATATACATAAATAAATTAGTATTTATTACATAGACTATTATACATTCACTTGGTGAATTTAATAATAATAAGTCGTTTATTGTTATAGAAAATTATTATATATTGTTTTCCTATTTATAATTTATTGTAGTGGTTAGTAAAATATTTTATATTTTGTAATTTTTTATATGGAATTTAATTAATATTTCAAAAACTTTTATTTCTATTTTAAATTTAGTATATAAATAAAAACAAAACATGTTGGAACAAATATGCCTTCCGTAGGAATAATATTTATGGATATCCCTAAATGCAAAAATGATAAATTTAATTAATAATGAATCAATATATATAATTTATGATGAAAAAACTACTGCAGAATATTTAGTTCTTTACAATTTTTGAAGTAAAACTTCTTGAGAGTTTTAATAACATATAACTTGAATTGAGTTTATTGAAATATTAATGTTTTGCCGTTAAATTGAAATTTTTAATATTGCCTAATGCTCAAGTTAGAATTAAATGCATATTATATACAATATGAATTCCGTCGGGACATTATTTTTCTACGTTTTGTTAAATTGTTTGAAAACTTTATTTCTTAATTGGTATAGCTAGAAACTAGATAATATTTACTAAAGTTTTGTATGAAGATTTTAATATAGACCATACAAAAATTTTGTATAAAATTAGTCTGAACTCCCCTTAACATTTTGTGTAAATTTACTAAACATATATGGATTCTGTCGGCACATTTTTCTAAGTTTTATTAAATTGTTTAAAAACTTTTCCCAAAACATTATTTTTTAATTAGTTTAGTAGAAACTAGATACAATTTACTGAAGTTTTGTATAAAGAGTCTAATGTAGTCCTATACAAACATCTTAAATAAAACTGGTGTGAACTAACTCTAATATATTGTGCAAATTTACTAAACATATATGGAATCTGCCGGGACATTTTTCTTCATTTTATTGAATCACTCGAATTTTTTTCCTAGAACTTTTGTATTATATATTTATATTAGCAGAAACTAGATGAAATATACTAAAATATTGTAAAAAGAATCTATTGTAATCCCATATAAAAATCTTGTAAAAAACTAGTCTGACTCGCCCTAATATATTGTGCTAATATATATATATATATATATATATATATATATATATATATATATATCCATAACTTCAAGATCTGCGTACACTAAATAAATCTTCCTTCCCTTCAACAAAATATATGACCAGAACGATTGTAGGAACCCAAAAATGAAAATAATACGAATTTAAAATGCAGAATGTTATTTCACTAAAATATATTCCTCGGAGGTTGTTAGTAAAATTCGAGTGAATTATAAATGAGCTGTTTCTGTTTTGTGTGTGCAAATAACATATGCTTTGGGAAATTTCTTTGATGCCGGTGGAGGGTCGTCCTGAGGAGCCCCCAAGAAAGGGCGGAGGACGGTGGAGGTGCGTTTTAATTTGCTGCGAAAAGGCAAAGTAAACTGTAAATGAGAGGACGTGAATTTTAAAATAATCCTTGAAACAAAATTAAAAACTAGAGGTGTATGGCATCGAGCCTTAAGGCAAATTGCTGGAACTTTCCGTACCGTAATGAAATATTCGAGAAATTTTAAACGTTTTCAAATATATTATTACAAATACTATTATAAATCTATATGGTTTTTGTTTCTTAAAATTTGTTGCTAAAATTTATCCTTTTCTCATATATTTTTATTACCCTCAACCGCCAACAATATTTTACACAAAACGCGACACGAGTTTTAAAAACAAACACTGAAAAAACACGATAACGAATTTATATGAAAATGTTTTCATTCAATTTGTTTTTATGTTTTCGCGCATTTTTGTACATTGATAGTTTTAACTACGTTGTTTTTATTGGAGAATTTCGATTTACACAAAAAAGTAAAAGCTGAATTGTCCAGGGCAGGTGACGAAGACGTTCCTTTTGCTTAAACACCACGAAGAATATAATTGTCATTGCATT